TCACTTATTTATCCTAAACTCACCAACACTTGCTTATTCATACGATGTTTTAGCATGATTAACCCTTATTTCTCAACAAGTGTAGTGGCAACACTGATACAACTATCCCATCAATAATCATATTACATACCTTATTATTAATATGACACATCGTATGAAATATGTTCTCCCTTTGTTGCTCAAAGTCATCCACTTTGATTTGTGGACTAAGAGCTTTCTTTGTAACCAATAGTCAGCCCATTGCATGTTCCACTTTCTCACCATCAATAGCATTTTCCAATTTCGACATATCATCATAATTAACCTCACTCTCACTCACTACTTATCCATTGTCTTGTAAAACCATCACCCTTTTGTTTGGACATTGTGAACTAATGTGTTCCGATCCCAAATACCTAAAACATTTGATATCTCGATTTCTAAGGGGTTGGGAATCCACATTGGGTGTAAATTTGCTAGCAACTTTCTTTATTTGCTTGCGTAGTACAGTTCTACCCTTTCAAACAATGTCATCACCATTATTATTATTCCAATTTGGTTTCCAAGAAGAATTGGAACCCGAAAAACCCGATGGATATTTAGCTTCCGCTTCCTCTACAATTGCATTTCCACCTTCATAGCGACTTATAACATGTCCTTTAACTCCACATAATGTTGTAGTTCTACCACATTAGCCATCTCCTTATTCAAAACATCCATAATTGGGCCATGTTGACCTCCTGATCCCCCTACACTCTCTCTAGTTACGTTAATCTCCATTTCCTTGTGATAATCCTACACACTACTAGATCCTTAATAAAGGCTTTATAATTTTTTATAAAGATTGATATGGTAATGATTATGAGCGAATTGCTTTCTTATGATAGTCTTCAATTCTCACCATGTTCTAATAGGTCTCTCATGATTTTTCCTCTTCAATATTGATATTTGACCCCACCAAATGATAGCATAATTAGTAAATTCAACGACAACAAGTTTTACCTTTTCTCCTTCGAGTAGCTATGGCAATCAAATATAAGTTTTATCTTCTTCTCACATTCCAAATATGCCTCCGGATCGCTCATTCCTTTGAATAAAGGAATTATAATTTTAATATTGTCCATATCTCTATCAACTCCATTTCCAACATAATTTCTAGCCCTTCTATTATGCCTATCTCATCTATTCCTCATCCTTCCCATTTCCTCCTCCACTAATGCATCGTTGTCAATTTCACTACTCCATTTTCACCACCAATATCCACTCTAGGTTTCCGCCTAACATGCCTCATTGTGTTTGAAACTTCTCTAGTTTGTTCTCTACGTTAATTAGCAAGCAATGCATCTTGATTCTCCGTCCACGTTTCTTGCCTACCCATGCTATCTCCCATGTCCGTAAACAACATTTCAAATCGTTGTTTCATCTAATTCACCAGGATGACTTGACTATTCTTCCCGCTTGAAGTAGAATCGTTTCTATCAGGCATTCTAAATCTAGAATAAAATTTGAATCTGACTTTTTCCCTATATTAGTCTCACCACTTTGCCTTTTTCACTAGTGCTTCCTTGCACGTGCTTCAAAAAATTAATTCGATCTTAGTCAAAATTCAATTCTTGTGGAGTTCAAACAAAGAATTGAGTAAGGAAAATGACTATAGAATGACTCAAGAAAGTAGGAATTTACACTTTTAATGGAACAATAGGGACAAATTCAAGAATATGTTTCTTGAACTTGAATTGGGACTTTGATTTTATTTTTAATTTTTTTGTAATTACTGTATAATTTTTTTTTTTTTTTTTGCAATTTCGGGTTTTTTTAACTAAACGAGCGAGAATTCAACAAAGAGCCCAAAAAAGTCGAAAAAGAATTTATTTGAGCATTAATTTAGTGCACAAACAACTTTTGAATTTTTTTTGGTAATCCAATTGAATTGAATGACTCAAATATGAAGAACAAGAAGGACGAAGATGAAGACTAAAAAAAAAAAAAAAACACACACACACAAAAATTAAATGATATAACCTTGATTTTTGAAGCTAAACTCTGATACCATCTGATGCAAACCCACGTAGTAATTGTAGTTATGAAACCCTAGATAGATTAGATTAAGCCCAAGAAAGTCAAGAACCAGCGTTTGAAAAGTTCGACCCCATAAATTATTGAATCAAAGAACCAAGACACTTGTAAATAATATTTTGATCCCGCGATTACAAAACTTATGAACTTTACTTGAATTGTTAAACGTCACAAGAATTTAAATTCTTGATAAACTCAAAATTAATTCGATGACGAACGAGTTGAAAACAATATGCCTCACAATTATATCTCTCTAATTGTGTGCTTTACAATGAAGAGAATGAGTCCTATTTAAAGAAAACTCATAAAAACCTAATTAAAAACGGAATCAGTAGTCTAAATGTCAAGAATTACCATAAAACTAGAGTTTTAACTAAAGTAGGTTTCTTTCCAAAAAGTGAAAAATTAACCGTCGGACTTGTGCTATGCGACCGCATAGTATTGGAACATGTGGTCACATAGTTCATAAAAATGCCCCATTTGACACTTGATATAGAGGCATGCAGCTTCATGCCTTGGTATACTATGCGTTGGCATAGTTGACTTCCTCTGCTTGAACCAAGTTAATCCATCTTGTTCCGTCTTCCATGCCAATATGAGACTTGTCCTTTTACTTGTTGTGATCAATATTTCATTTATTGTAGCTTGAACAAGTAATCCCATGGCTTCCTTGACCTTCTTTGCTCGTGGCCTAGTCATTGGTTCTTCCTCCACAATCAACATATCTTTGTCCATGTTAACTACTCATCACAAGATGAGCTTTTCTAATTCAATTGATACAATGCATTTAACATAACTAATTAATGCCAAGTCATCCAACATTGGACCATTGACTACATGCGAGCTATGCAAGCCTTTGGCATCAATAAATACTACTTTAAAATGTTGTTAAATAATTTAAAATTCGTTTTTAGAATGATGTTGGAGCGGTTTGATGTGGTATTGATTTTTTTTTTTTTTTAAATTTAGGAATTTGGTAGTGAAATTAAATAAATGCTTAGAAATTAGAATAATATTTGGATCAACACAGTTCAGACGACAGTAGCCATGCATTTCCAAGATTCGTGACGGTTGGACAAGAGGGCTATTATATAAAGATTAAAAAGTAATGTTATTCAACCATTGGTGTCAAATACCAATAATAAAACTTATTTAATTGAACTTTTCAAGTGTGTTCATCTAAACTGATATTTTAATATGATTATTCATTAGATAAATCTATTGAAGACCTATCCAGAGGTAAGATCATATCTATTAGGCTAGTGGGTGTTTTTATATGTATATTAAATTTGGCTATAGTCCTATTTGAATTGGTGTTGGCATTCTTGGGATTATAAACCAACTTTGTACTGTGTTGCGCATCTTTCAATTTTTGCAAATGGGGCGGGGTGGGGGAGTGGGCGTCGTGTTTCATTCGAGCTAATTTACAAGGCCTTATCATGTGTTTTAAGCCTCTTGGGCAAGTGGGTTAACTTTTGCCACTAGTAATTATCCCATTTGTCTTTCCTCATCAAGAATACCTCATCCACGATCCCGAATGTAGACGGGATAGGCGATCGCCTAAAGCCTCACTACGGTAAAGGCCCAAAAATTTTTATTTTTATTTTTTGTTTTAGATGCCTGTGTATATATATATCGCCTAAGGTCTCACTACGGTAAATGCCCCAAAATTTTTATTTTTATTCTTTGTTTTATATATATATATATTTGAAATTGGCCTAACGACTTCAAAATTTCGGGGCCAAACTTGACCTTATCTCGTCTACGTAGTCAAAAAATAAAATTGAATGTTTCGCTGAACCAAATCGTCTTTCAAATCGACTAACTTGACACGCCACTTGAACACACTTGATGGGCTGATTTGTCGGCCTACTCCTTTTCTTTTCCCATCCGAAAAAGTGTTTTAAAAGCTTGTCATTGTCGTAACTTTCAAGAAAATAAGGCTGTGCCTAAGCCACGCCCGTAGGCTGGCCCGGCGGCTAAGTTCAGTAAAGATCGAGGCTTTAGATGAACTGTCACGATGACCAAATTCAAGGGCCATTGGATCGCCAATTTTGATCCTCTTTGTATGATACAGTAATTACTAATTACTGCACATTTATTTCATGCAGTGAATTTACATCCCCTTTCCCATTCCGTTTCCAAGCGCGTGAAAATGCACTGTAAATCGTGCGGAAAAGAGGCAAACCCGCCTCCAATTCACCACAGACCATGTCTTTATTCATTAAATTAAACAACTTTCTTGCCACGCGCAGGCCACGTTACTTTCTGATCTCACCCACTCCCAACGTGCCTCTTAAACAGTTCATTTCTACTTTCATAATCTTTATCTCACCCTCTTTATTGTCGATTCTCCATTTTTATCCTTCGCTTTATTTTCTTCATCAGATCATACCAATTTTTTTACGGGGACGTATCCCTTGATCTGCTAATCCTGTATTTTATACTAAATATTGGGTTAGTTATGTTATTCCGTCGTTTTGATTATGTATTATTTTTTGGTAATTTTTGTGGCTGATGGAATGGAGTTGGACATGTTAAATTTAAAGAGATTGCTTTGTAATTGAAATACGGATGATGTTAATTTGGCTTGGTACCATGGATTATTGTGATTTCGTTTTCTAATTCGTGACTTTGTTATGGTTGGTGAGTATTTTTGTTTGATTCCAGTCATTTCATTGTTTGTGTACTTCGGATTTTTTATTATTTTTCGGCAGGAAATTAGTTAATTCTTGGACTGTGGTGAGAAGTTTGTTTTTCCAAGTTGAGAAATGCAAATAACACATTTTTTCAGATTTCATTCTAATACAATGTAAGCAGTAACAAAAGAAATTGTTATGGAGTGGAGTATTCTAGGACTTGGTTTCACGACGAAATAGTATTAGTATCATTAATTTGATATCTTTGTGGAAATGATAATCGGAGTGAAAGTCACTAACTGGAAAGATCAAAATCTGAATTCTGTTTTTTTGGGACAGATTATGCTATTTCATGGCTTCTAAACTTTCTTAAGCTAGTAGAACATAGGGAGTTTTATATTATGTGTTCAAAAATGTTTCATTTAACCTGGCCTTGATTTGGATAAATGGGCTTTCCCTTTCATCGTTGATTTCGAGAAAATGGTGAGAAACGCTGTTTTACTTTGGAATATTAAAATTAGCATTCTCTGTATGGTACAGATTTCTACTAGTTTATGGCTTGCAAGCTTTTTCTGACGTTAGTAGAATTTAGAACTTCTACAAGAAGGTGATCATAAATGTCTCATTTGATCAAGTTTGAGAAAATGAGGGAGAAAGTGTCTGAAAGCATGCATTTAGCATTATTCTTACAGAGCTTCAAGAAAACGCACTCCCAGTTTGCTATTTTCTTCGATGAAATTACAATCAAATTGTTTCTCTTATGGCATAGTCATTGTCTTTCCATCATTGTATTCTTCTCTTAACATGCAAACTGTCACTTAACGAAAATAAAGATGATGGGTTTGATGTACGAACTTTTGACAATTCAAATGTAACTTGTGATTTACTATCAGTTATGCAACTATGACCCTAGAGTATCTTATAAATGATAAATTTGGTGATTTGTAACAAGTTTTTTATTCAAGCTATGGGGAATCAACATTCAATTAGTAAGTTTCTTTCTCTGCTGCTCTCTTTTCGTGCTAGACTGATTAAGTTTGTTTTTACACTGTTCTTATTTTATGCAGTAAACTGAATATTTTTTTGACAAAATGTCTTCTCCTAGCAAGAGGCGAGATATGGATGTTATGAAGCTGTAAGTTCTTCTTGTGTCACATTCGCCATTACTGGTGTCACTGCATTATTTATCATTTTTGCTTAAAATGAGTATTTTATCTCCAGATTATGTTACTCCAATTCAGTTGACAAGTGTTATGAATATCTATGTTATATTAACTAGAACCATTAACTACAAGCTCCTGCTGGAGCCTCATTCTTTAAAATTCATTTATCCTCAACCTCATTTTCAAACACATTCTCCAAATAAAATAATTTTGTGCGTAAACTGATTACTTTTTCACTATTTTTTAACCACTCATTCTCCGAAAACATTTTTTTTTTTTTTTTTCAAAAAATGTTCTCGAACAGGGGATAAATGTTTCTGTTGACTCTCTTAATGGTTTTACGTATTCATGTTTGCTGTAGAATGATGAGTGACTACTCAGTGGAGACAATAAATGATGGAATCAGCGAGTTCAATGTGGAATTTCATGGTCCAAAAGAAAGTAATGTTACTGAATCTTTTATATTTCAAATGGATTCTTTAGTTATCATCGGTCTAGTCATTGTCCATTTCATCTGTGTTAATAGATTTTAGTATTCCTTCTATTTACCCCATTTCCTGTTTGCTCGTATTTTTCTCTTGTTTGAGTTTTGCCTGACTAAATTAGAATTTGTGAGGAACTTTGTCCATTTACGAGTACATGTTTATAGTATCTGGTTAAACTGATGAAAGCTATACTGACTGTAACTATATGCATACTGGAGCTAGTTTTTGTACATCTCAAGCATTTAGAGAAAAATAATTGCTTTTGGTGAATCTAGTTCACTGACTCTTTGTTGAACTGTGGTTAAAAGAATTTTTCTGCATGCTACATAAAATTATATCTCCTTATTCCTGAAAGATTTAGTGAGGGATTCAGATATTGGAAGTCATCTTTAATCTTGCACATGTGCATATTGGCTCAAGAAATTTGAATCTCCTTTTCCCTGGAAGTCTCTTCTATATTTCAGAGATGGTGATATATATTGCAAAGCATCTATAGACACTGATATTATTTGATGCACTTGCTAAGTATATCATGAGAGCTGGCTTGTGTCTTTCTATTCTTTACTCCATATGTGGTGAGCGGATGGGGTCTAGACCACAGTGTCTTTATTGGAGATCGATTTTTTACATTTGGAAAAAATTCATACATCAGGTTTTTAGGGGATTATTTGAATCGACAGTTGTTCCCTTTAATCTTTGCTGCAGAATTTTGTCTCCAGAATTCCTTTGCATCTCATCCGTAGTTCTGAAGTGTCTTTATAATTGTTGGTGGTTTCTGTCTTTTAGGTTGTCATGAAGAAAATGTTCACAATGTCTTATATTATACATTTTGCCTCATCTCTGTCAGGTTTCCAATCATTATTCTCGTTTCCTGTTGATTGCAGGCCTTTATGAAGGTGGAGTCTGGAAAGTCCGTGTCGAATTGCCAGATGCCTATCCTTACAAATCTCCTTCCATTGGGTTTCTTAACAAAATTTTCCACCCAAATGTTGATGAGCTGTGAGTTTCATATTCTTTTGTTGTCTATTGTTCTTTCTTCAATTCTTATGCGTGATGGAAAATCCAATATTTTCCTTTTTAATGTATCTTGTGGAGACTGTTAGGGTTCTCGTTATTTCCATTGACATTCAAGCGTTTTTTTCACTTGCTTATCATGCTTATGATTCTTCATTTTTTGAATTACAGGTCTGGTTCTGTATGCTTGGATGTCATTAACCAGTCATGGAGTCCAATGTTTGGTAAGCTTAAACAGTTCGATAGCCAAAATTTGTTGACAATAAGTGCAGGAGTGAGAAAAAAATACTCACACAGGACTCGTTAACAGGTTTTAAATTTTCAGTCGTATTGGAATAATTAGCATAGGGGCATCTGCATTACTTCTAGTGCATGTTCTGTGTGAAGTATTAGACATGACTGGGTGACAAGATTTAGCCTATGTTTGGCTCATGTTTAAGAACTGTTAATAAACACTCAAGCCACTTTTTATCATCACATTTCAAGGGACGCACAAATACTACCACTTATCCACTAATTTTTATCTATTTATACTTTAAATTGTTTATAAACACTTTCCAAATGTGCTCTTATAATTTCTTTTAATTTTTTAGCATTGTCTACCTTTTTCACCAAACATATCGCTAATTTTTTTTTTCTTCGACTACATGGATAGCCTCATATCATTTTTCACTTTCTCACGTCCACGTTAATAAGCTAGGGTCTAGATTTAAGATCATTCTGGCTGTATGATTTCTCTCTCGTCATCAATTTATGAATAGGATTGAAGCTTTTATTTAATTCATTTTAGTATTTGTGACCTCTTGATTTTTGACATAAACGGCACTGATGAAATCTGTCCATTATCTTTTGATCGTTACAAGGAATCTGTCCATTCACTGAGCTCAAGGGTCGTGATGTTGAATGTGTCATATTATGTTTGTATGCAGATCTCTTAAATGTGTTCGAGGTCTTCCTTCCTCAGCTTTTACTTTATCCAAATCCATCAGACCCACTGAATGGTGATGCAGCATCCCTGATGATGAAGGATAAGGAGCAGTATGAACAAAAAGTTAAAGGTGAACCATTTTACTTTCCCCCCTAAATATCTACCGAAATTTTTGGGGTAAAAAAAAGTAACTAATTTTATTTAAAATATAGAGAAAAATTAAGATATCCACTCTTGCTGTACACGAGTGTATAGCAAGCATAGCCCTATTTCTCACCACTCTTCTTATGTGGTCCAGAGTACTGTGAACGCTATGCAAAGAAGGAGCACATTGTCAATGCCCCAACAGATGAAAGTGACGAGGAACTAAGCGATGAGGATTTTAGCGATGGACGCAGTGATAGTGATGATGATGTTGCAGGACATGCAGATCCGTAGGCAAATAGCTGATCCTTAATCTTCACATCAGCTGGCTTCATTCTTTGATGTTATCTGTATTATTAAGATTTACTTGCATGTACTTTAGGAGCAGAAAGGAAAAAAAATAGGGCCAGGATAAGTAATAAAATCCCTGCAGACTAAATTTGTAGTTAATATATTATTCATTTAGTCGTAAAACGGTCGATAAAATTAAATGTTTGTTTGCTTGCTTGTATTTGGATTTAGGAATGGCAAAATGTCGTGTCCTGCTTTCCCTAGTGAATGTGTTATTCATTCTAGTAAGTAAACAATGCAATTTTGTTTGCTTACTTTTATTTGACAATAGGGATGGCAAAATGTCTTGCTCTTGCCTCGCCTCTTATTATCATCACTCTTATCATTTGTCTTCGAATTCAAATTTTATTTGAAGAATAAAATTAAAAATAAATAAGTGAAAATTATCCTAGATGTCATAATTTGGGTTTTCATTTACAAAAATGTCACTTCTTAAAATCATTGTAAAATTGTTAGTTTTGGACATTTTTACCCCTCTAATTAACTTGAATCCCTTATATGTCCTTTAATAAATTGGACGTGACATGACTCCAAATTGTACCAGAACTGTGACACGTTAGGTACGGTTGGACTCATTGATGGAAGGGGGCAAAAAAAAAAAAAAAAAAAAAAAATAAAAAAAACCCTTTTTCCCCC